CTGCAGAATGATCTCGTGTTAGTGAGTCATCAATGAGAGATTCATGAGAAATTAATGTAGACAGTCTATATAAATTTTGTTCGCTAAAGAGAAAGAAAATAGAGATAAAGTAGTAGATAAAAATTCTTTTAACTGTACCTTTTTTTACCTGATATATTTTATTCTATCTTTCGATCTTTGAGCTAAACATTTTCTTCCAAGAATTGCAGTTGTCGAACATCAAATATTGATGACATTTGACGTTTATTAATTTTTACTTATTAGGAAACGTTACATTTTTTTTTATGTAAAAAAAACCTGTTTGGATCAGGGGAAAATTCCCGAATTTTTTTTCACTTTCATATTTTAATTTCATACTTTTTTATTACGTGATGCATATATCACTGACGTAAATTCGGATTACAGATTTTTCGCATAAATCAGAAAACGTGAATTTATGTAGATCGTAGTGAAACATGAACATGTAAAATATATTAGTTTTACAGTAAGTAATATATAATTTCTGTCTTTATAATAGAAAAATGAGTTTCCGTGAGTTCTTAAGTTCATTAAATATAATAATTTGCTTATGATTTTTCAACTTCTGTAAACCTGAAATTGTTATCCTGAGGAAAATCAGAAAGAATTTCATGGAAGGGATCCTCTTTAGTCCATAAATTCATAGTGATTTTTGCCTGTTGTCTACTTCAACTTGTGATCATTAACATCTCATCCGTTTTGCGGTCGAATATACTAGGTATGGAGCGTGCGAACCATACAGTTCTTTCTCAAATAAATGAATTTATTGAGAATAATAGAATTAATGGCTCTTTGCAAGCTGGTGATATTGCTGCATAGTTACTAGCAAACAAAATTTATCAATTCATAGGAATCAAGCTCTGAAATTTCCTGCAATAAATCCTCCAATTATGCCCACGCCGGAAGTTTTGTGATTCAAAAGGAAGTTCTTCATAGCGAATTGTATACATAAGAAAATAGCACAAACAGTAGAGGAAAAGTTTGTTAAGCAATGTTGGGAACAATGTTTTGACAGGTTCAAATGCTTGGAATAGAGCATTAGGTGGGTTTAGTAGAACTATTCCTGAGAAATGTACATTATTGGTAAAGGATCTCTGAATTTTCCAAATTGATGACATTGCCATTTATTTATTTATACACAGCAGCTAGAAAATTTAATTAGGATTCTTTGTTATAATTCCATAATTACACATATTAGTAAATTTTTTATTTGTTCCTAACAGCATTTTTGGATTGTCGAAAATAAATAAAACAAGAAGATTGATTCGCGATTCATTTTCATCCGCTAGAATAAAACAGAATTTCAAACGGATTCATTATATACTGCGGCTACGATGGCTAATGTTAAAATTGAGGTAGAAATTATAAATTATCAACCATCGAAGTTCCAAAAATAGCGTTTTGTTGAAAATCCTTTGTCACTTTTTTTATTAAAAAAATTATTTTCTTTTTCATAATAATCATTAATAACGTTTCACCAAAGAAGACAAATATTTATATAACTATTAATGTTCAAAGCAAAAAAAAATGGACAAACCAAAGACTCCATTTATTAAATAGAGTAACATACATATGTTTTGAAAAATATTACATTTAGGGATGTTAAGTGGTTTATTTAAAACAGGTTTATGCTCGAACTACTTTCAAACCGGCTAGTTCCTGATTTTATGCTGTGTCAATCAATCAATTCCTGTTTATGACCAAGCTTAAATAAACTCGTTCTGAGACTTCATTTAATAGTTTCGTGACTAACTTTTTATCGCGCACTTTTCTTAAAATAATCTTCGCATAACATAATTGCAATATGGGACCTTTGCAATAGAAAAAGGGGAAACGGCTGGAAAAAATAAAAATTGAGTAAATGCTAAATCTGAACATATTTTG